TGCGCTTTAACACACATTGAAAAGCCCCTTGACAGCATCACTGCTGAAAGGCAGCCAAAAATCTCCGCAGAGCTCGGGTTCGCCAGCTGCTCTGGGCGGTCGGAGGAAGGGGGAGCTCCCTTCCTCAAAACCAGCTAGGCCGAGCGCTGACACCGCATCCTACCGCATACACAGCTCGGGGCGAGGAGCCACGGCCACCCGTAGGCTCCCACACTGCGCAAGCAGCTCCTCGGGCCTTTCCCAACCCTCCGGATGACAAAGCTCCTCATTTCCCACAAGCTCCCCTTTACGCCCCGAGATGCGGCCGTCGGTTTGGGGTCGGCAGCGCATCCCGGATCCCTGCGGTACCCGGTTTACGCGCCGCCCTGCCCGGGAAGAAGCCCTCCGGGGTGCCCGAGGCTGCGTTAGCTCATACAGAAATCCCCGTGGATACAAAGGGGATAGGCAATCCCGCAGCAGCTCAGTACCCTGGCGGGGGCCGCCCCCCGCCGTGGGGCAGCCAGGGCTCCTCTGCGCTCCCGACGGCGCGAACCTCTTCCTGGGGCTGGGATAAGAGCGAGGATGGGGATATGGGGTAGGAGAGGATGGACTTACGGAAGCTGCCGCCGCCACCGCCCTGCCCGCTCCAGCCCAGCCCGGCTCGGGTCGGCACAGCCCCGCGGAAGGTGGGGTTTCGGCGCAGGATGTGCGAGCGAAGCCGGGCAGGGCGGTGGGAGGGGGAATTAAAGGCGCAGCGACCGCTCAAAACTACCGGGAAGGGATTGAGCGGGGCCATCGGAGGGGTTATCGCTGTTGTCACCCCCTCCCAGCTCCCGGGGATGGAGGGGGAGTGCCGGGTTGGGAGCGCTCCTTCCACCTTTGTCCCCAGCCCAGGGCTCGGTGCGCACGGAAAACGGCGCTGGGGGAGAAGAGGAAGTGACTTCCCCCTGGGAAAGGGTTTGGGAGCGACATGGCGCTTGCACCACGCTGCTGGCACCCCAGCTTAGCTGGGTGAAGCTCCGTGTTGCGCCTCATCCCAGGGCTCGGTGACATGGTGCCAGGGCTGGGCACGGTGGTCCCAAGGGTGTCACCCACCCCGGGGTGCCTACTCCTTCCCTCATGGCTGGAGAGGCTGTGCCTGCACCACCTCGCTCCTGCAAAGCCCTGGCAGTCGTGGCCAGCACCGACCCCACCAGCTGCCCCTTGGTGCTGGGCGTCAGCATTCCCATCCGGAGCGGATCACACTGCCCTGGGGCTTCCCGCAGCGGGGCTGCCCATACGTGCCCTCCGTGACTCACGGCACGGCTATGCCGGGCGGTGCTGCTGCCGACAGGCACGGCTACCGTGGGGCTCGTTGCACAGCACGGTGCAACGTGCCGTTGTCTGGCGTAGCATGGCCCAGCACGGACTGGTGCAGCTTGGCCCGGTGCGGCCAACATGGCGCAGCACAGCATGGCTTGACCTGGCACAACCAGCTCAGCCCAGTTCAGCACAGCCCCAGGGAGCAGCTCTGTCTGGGCCAAATGTGGCGATCCCAACGGGTGTTGCCAACCGTGGGGCTCCTGCTTGTCCCCTTGTGCCTGGCTGCAGGCTCTGGCATCCAGCTGCTCCCCCTGGCTTCCTGGAACCCCTGCTTCCTAGCGCATCCCGCCTTGGCCCAGGGGCAAATCCTGGCTAAGCAGGAAGCAGTTCGCACTGGGGTCAGGAGCCGTGTCCCTTGCCTGAGGGAAGGGCAGCCAGGACATTCCAAACCAGCTGTAGCACGGTCCTACTGCCCTGTCCCCATCCCCACCTAGGAGAGCTGGGCACAGGCAGCTTGTTCTGCCCCCCTGGGTGCAGAGGAGACTTTGGGATGCCCAACTTTGGGGTGCCTGGCTTTGGGGTCCCGCAGCAGCCGCTCCATCTCAGTAAGAAGGCGGCTGAGCCACCGCCCGCAGGTTGGGAAGGGGTGTGGGGAGGTCCCAGCTAGGGTCACCAGCCAGCTCTGGACCGAGCCGCAGGTAGCGGCGTGCTTTCAGACAAGGAGCAAGCTGCCCTGCAAGCCTGGGGCTCGTTCCTGCTTTGGGCTTGTGCCCAAATGGTTCTGCCAGCTTTTTATCCGGCCTTGACCAGCACTGACCGCCCTGCCCGCTCAGAGCCGCCCAGGACACCACCCGTCCTCGTGACCCCTTTCTCCTACCGTTCATCTCCTGCCTCGTTACCCCTCGGTGGCCTTTAAAGCCGCTTTCCCAGCTGACTCTGCCGGGGCAGGAGAGGCATAATCCCGTCACGCAGGCTGGTCCCTGTCCTGCCCCTTGCTCTTGGGAGCGGTTTCCGTCCAACACCTGCACGCATGGCACAACTACTTCCTCATTCCCTTCCCTCAAGCTTCCCTTTGCAGCCAGGCCTGCGGGGACTTGGCAGCAGGCAGCCGCCTTCTCTCGGGCTTTGGTTCTTTGTGCCCAGGCGTTGCCCCTTCCCCGTCCTTCGGCTGCCAGGAGAAGGGGCTCTACGTGCCCCGCTCTCGCTGTGCCACTGGTGCATGAAGCCACCGAACAGGGCGAGGTGGGAAGGGAGTTGGGGTCAGTCATCCATCTCCGTCCTCCGAGCAACAGCCGCTGCACGCAAATTAAGGAGGCTTCAGCGGGGAGAGCCCGCGAGCCGTGGCCGGGTTCCCGGCTGCGGGGCTCATGCTCACCTCCCCCCCTCCCCAAACCCAACTCCTCCGTTTGCACCGCGCATGCTCCCGCAACCCTGCCGCAGCTGGGGTCCTCTCCTCCCAGGTCCCAGCCCCCAATCCGCTCCGCAAACAAAAGACTTGGAGAACGACAGCTCCTTTTTTTCCTTTTTTCCTTTTGTACACAAATATATACAGGGTATTATACACATCTCTACACGGACAGCGCCGCTCGGAACACGCAGCTCTCCGCGGGCAGAGCCCCAACCTACAGAACCTGGAGCATCCCCGCTGCGCCGGGTGGGTGCGATAATAGGGAAGCAGGATCAACACCCTCCCTGCCCCAGCCGGGGAGCGGACCAGGAGCTCTCATGCAGTCTGTAGCCCGGCCCGATGCTCACCGTGCTCCTCCACACCCACATGTGGCCTGCCCTCCCCATGCATCAAAGACCCACATCTCTTCCCCTCCGTCCCCCCCACTTCCTCCGGGCCTGGGATTCCTATAGAGAGGTGTACAGGAAAGTCAGCTATATCCCCCCTGGAGCAGTCCCCCACCTGCTCCGTGTCTCTGCCCCTCCTCTAACAGGGGGCAAGGGAGAGAAAAGCCATGGGATGCGACCGCCCGTCCCCGCAGCAGGGCTGGGCAAGGCCGGCACGTCACTCATTCGGTCTGTTAAAGTGCTTGGAGCTCCAGGGCCGGCACGGGCGATGGAAGGTAAATAAATGACTGTCCCCTTCCACCCAGCCCCATCAGAGCCTGGAGGGCACAGCCGCAGCGAGCGGGAGCAGCACCCACGGCGGGGAGGGTGATAGTGTCCGCAACGAGCACCAGACAGGACGGTGGCAGGGGGCTGAGGGAAATAAATATAGCTCGAGAGTAGGGAGATTTATTATTTTCCTTTACATTGTACACAAGGGGAAGAGGGAAAGCAATCGAGAGCAACTGATCCTGACCAGAGACCTCCTCACACAGAGCCGTCACACAGGGTCAGAGCTCCCTGGCTCCAGCCCACCTCTCCCATCCGTCCTGTCCCCTCACTGCCTCTGGAACGCAGCTATCACCAGGGAGGGGGCAAGGGCAGAGGTAGGGGAGGAACAGCCCCCTCTCTGAGGCTGGATGACGCCAGGGGAGCCTACACCTCGTCAGGGCAGGTGAAGAAAGCCAGCAGAGCCCCACGAGGCGCTTGTGCTCCTGAAGACGGTGGGCTTGCTGGGAAGGGGCTTCCAGGGGGCCGCTCTCCCAGGTCTCCCTTCTTCTCCAGCCACCTCAGCTGGGGGAAGAACCTGCAGAGCTCAGGGAAGGCAGCTCATGGGGCCCTGTCCCAACCAGGCAGCGCTGACCCTGCAGGGTACCAAGGGCCTGCAGTCCAGGACCCTTTCTCCTCTCTCCCTAGCACCCAGGAGACCCCCAAGCATAGCCCTCCACGCCCCCCCACCCCAGGCCTGACCCTGCCATGCAGACACAGGGCAGCAAAGGGGGGGCTAACACGCAGGGGTCAGGTTGATTTTTGTTTGAAAGGGCAGTAAAATGTGCAAAAAAAAAAAAAAAAAGCCACTTAGAATGATGCCGCCCCTCCTGTACCCCTGGGGGGGGAGG